TAGATTCTATTACGAAAATCAGGATTTTTGCATTTTTGCCGTCGCATTGTTTCGAAACTTATTCGGTCAAATTTTATGGTAAAGAGAAACTTACCGCGAAGATTTTGAGCATATATATGATTGAATTGGATGAAAAATCGCAAAATTATCCAGCGATAAAAGTTTGTGTGAAATGGTCAGTTGGTCAGTTGGAGCGTTTTATTGCCAGAAATACTGTGCTATGTTAACATCTAGCCTTGTGAATGGTGTTTTATACTTGCATCTCTCATCATCATCTGCTCTGTCCTCATAATTATGAAAAATGAACTGTTATGTACCCCCCCCCCCTCCTTGCTTGTTAGAGAAGTAAACTGATGAGAGCACTGGATGAGGGTCTATCATCTATGGTCTGTTATAATTTGCTTTTTATGCAAATAGTGAGCAAAAATTAAAGCAAAACTGTACAAGTTACATATATAGTACTATATCAGTACTATACACGAACTTTTATCGATGGATAATTTTGCGAGTTTTCATCCAATTCAATCATATATATGCTCAAAATCTTCGTGGTAAGTTTCTCTTTACCATACAATTTGACCGAATAAGTTTCAGAACAATGCGACGGCAAAAAATGCAAAAATCCTGATTTTCGTAATAGAATTTATAGTCTTTTTGCCCTGTTGTACCGCCATCTTGGATCTATCATGGCCCGCCTGCGCCACTGAACTATATAACATGTATATAGTTCACTGGCCTGCGCTAGGTATGCATTAGCAATCTAGATCTCCTATATCTATGTTCTACAGCACTGCTGCAAAGCCTTGCAAAGTCTATTGCACTATCCGTACTATTCGTCGCCTATTCGCAGACTATTCGTACTATTCGTCGCCTATTCGCGGACTATTCGTCGACTATTCGCGGACTATTCGTACTATTCGTCGACTATTCGCGGACTATTAGTACTATTCGTCGACTATTCGCGGACTATTCGTCAACTATTCGCATTATTCGCTTCACTATTCTAGTTTTATCAATTGCCTTAATATAACATCTTTTACCCACGCTGTAGCGAACAGCTTGGTAAAACTTCGCAAAGTATCTCAAATTTGGGAAAATTCACCTTACGTTGTTCGCCATACATTTCTATAGTAATTTGTATCACTCCAGAAGCTATATCAGTCTACTATTAGATCAGTGCATGTATTATCACCCGTACCCGTAAACCGGAACCGGGGTATCTTAACCTTTCTATTAACTTATTCTATAAATACACGGGAAGTCTCGTTGTCACGACAACGATGAATAGTCTATTATTTTTTACATTCAGTCAAATCTGAGTTTGATCCTTGATCTTCGAAATATTCTTCGATAGATTGACAATTAAAAGGTGAAATTTTCTTTGTATCGCTGCAAAACGTTTTGCTTTATAGTCTTCGCGTTTAGTATTTGGTTATGAGTGCCAAAACTATAAACAGCAGTATCGGATGTAATTCGTCGCAAAGCAGGACAGGATCAATATCTGGCCAAAGTGCAGACAAACAGGCGAGGAAAAGTCCCGCTAATGGACAGATAAGCGAAGCGAACAAGAAAGGAACAGTAGCAAGTCAACGTTACGATTCCTATAGAATAGCATTCTATGGTACCCCGGCTGAGAAAGAAGCATATAGGTGAGACGTGAAAATTTGTTACAAAAAGTGTTAATTATTGTCAATTATTTTATGCTGCATGATGCATAATTAATTGTGTAAAATTGCAGACGTCTCGTTAATACAGATATATTTGCATGTTTCGAAAAATATCTAACATGAATCTAACCACTTATCAGTATTCCTATGATGTTAATTTCAAGAGCATAATAATAAACTTTAAAGACCAGTTCAATCAAGAACAACGTGCTGGTCCAAGAACTAGCTACTTAAAGAGGCTCTCAAGTCTGTAATGTAAACAAACGCTTTGTTTACATTTTGAACTCAGTGCTACAGTTGTAAAATATGATTAGATATATATTATACTAAATTTTAAACACTTTCTGGTTCGCTATGCTTGTAAATGAATACAGACTAGAGATTCAATTCACTGAAGTTCAAAATATACGAAATGTTAATAACATTTCAACGGTCGGGTCTCGGCCATTGGAATGTAAGCCTGCGCAGAACATATGAGCAGAACGGACTTGACAGCCTCTTTAACAGAAAGGATCCAGTTCGGGAGTCGCTTGCAGTCAGAGTTGACATTCTTATCACTCATATAAAATGTATTTTTTGCAGGTGCATTTGGTTGCAGTTGTTGATTGGGTTAGATTTCGGGTGCACTCCCGGCTCTTTTAATTGCCACAAATGATTTTGGCAACCCCCCTTTCATGCTGAAAGCACTTTAAAGGCCCCCCTTCTAACCATAAATTGTTTTGTCAACCCCCCCAAATTTTCCTCCAGCCCCCCTAATTTTTCTCCAGCCCCCCTGGTCCTTAATTAATGAACGGTCCCTAATGTGTTGGTGAATATGTTAATATACAGGCGTCTAATAAATAACAAGGGGTAATTAGCATTAGGGTAAAAGACATTAATATACTTTTAAGTGAAAATGTGTGTTTGAGAAACAAATCAAATGAGTGGTTACTTCGTAAAAAAAACTTTTCCTATGCTTTTTACTTGTATATACACAGTATATATGATTGCTCATATGGTTGGGATGCATTACAGAAGCATTCTGTAAAAACGGAAGTAGACTGCATGCTTCATGGCTCACAAAAACATTCCGCACACACAAAAACACAAAGGTTTGAATGACATTTTGTTTCCATAGGTTAACAGCAATTATTTATTATGTTGTCTTCTACAAAGCTGGTCAAAACCAAATGCAAAAAGTATGCTAAACTTTAGCTCTTGGCCTAATTCTCATCAGTATTGCAATTGAATGGAGAATTTTGAAACAAAAAAATTATGCAAACTAACTATAAATGTTGAAAAAAAATTCTAGAAATTTGGTTTTAGTAGAAACTTTACGATTTCCAAGCCTAAAGATAAAATAAACTATAATATTTTAAGGGGGGGATTTCCGAAGGGGGCCGACCATATTTTTTAGGAAATATGGCCGGGGGGGATTTCCTAGGAAATTTTAGGGCCAAATTTTCGGGGGGGGGCACCAAATTTCCTGTGACACCAGAACCAATTTTTTAAGTTTAGGTTCCCCTTGGAACCGGATCTGGCTGGAACTGGAAAACATTTCCGGCCGGAACTGATTCATTAAGCGATATATGGTCATCACTTGAGGGGGGTGTGGGGGATGTGACACCCCCCCCCCCAAAGCACAAATCATCTGGATTGGCAGGGCAAATAATTTGGATTGGCAGGGCATTATGAAAGATTTTAAAAAAGAGTTATTAAGTAGCTTCCAGGGCTTCCAGAGGGAATTGAATAGAATAAATAAGGGTTTCATGCATGTTTTCACAGGAATTTGTCCGAAAACCCTTAATTTAATATTTGTCCGGAAAAAATTTTTCGACCTCCCCTCCATTTTTGGGTCGAGAAATGGTGGCCAAAAAATTTTTTGCTGCAGGGCATCATCGGCTTTTGCAGGGCAATTCTAGCAGACACCCCCCTAATTAAAAGAGGCTAGTTTCACCCCTGATGATCATATGTTACTTTGTCTGCTGCCAGACAGTCAGACATGAGACATGTTCAGTCATCAAGGAGAGAAACTCACAAATGTTACAATAAAGATTGACTTGGTCATAATGAAGTGCTAATATTTAGTGTACATTTTTCTTGTGTAGTCCAAATGTCTTCCTGTGCTATTCAATAAATAAATAAACTTGATATTTTCCCCGAGCCGACGGCGCGAAGCGCCGTGCGAGGGTACTAATTCCCCCCGGCTATTTACACCCGGGGAAACAAAAGCATTAGGGAAGTCTAAAGTTCATCAATTATCGCGGGCGTGGGTGACCAACGATGGGTGGTCTCCTCACTGATCTCAAAAATATGGCGGACTGTCATGAATAGCGGACACTGATTGGTCCAATTTAAAGTTTGCATTATAACGACTGCATGACGACAGCGAAATAGCAAACATTTCTTGATTTGATGATTGATGAATTGTTTGCTCGCATTTTTGCCATATTTTGTAAATTTCAAAAGTTTCCTCGTACAGAAAGGGCGAAAGAATCGGCTAAAAGAAGGGAGCCGACGTTAACGAAGGTAAGTTTGTTTTAAATATTGATTTTATAATGGTTTAAAACCCGACGGCCTTTGCGTATATGAAACAACCTGAAACAAGACAGCATATAATTTCAGTGTATCTTTAATATTGATTCCCTTTTTTATGTATAGAATTTTTTAAATAGAAAAGAAAGCAATTTATTTGCAAGCGAGAATTTGAAATCATTTTATTGCAAACTCGAAGTTTATCGATAATGCCATTTAATTAAAGGCTGTTTTAACAGGGGCGCCGGAGCCACGGGGGCAGCGGGGGCAACTACCCCCATTGCCCGAACAGTGCGGGGGTAGTTGCCCCCGTGCGTTATTCACAGGAATTGGAATTTATAACTATTTTTAAGCAATGTTTAAGCAATGTTTTAAGCAATGTTTATGCAGTCTTTACTTAATTTGTAACTAGTTGCAGTAAAATTAATGCTAAATCAAGTAAGATACTTTCGTTTACTGATTTTATTTTGCACCTTCAACAGGGTTTTAAAATAGCCGCCGGCAGCTTTAGGACCTTGCCGGCAATTTTCAATTTCAGAGCATAGGGATCGGCAACCGCATACTATAACGAAGCTGTTGTCGACTCCATGGATCTGTGGCCAATGCTCTGGATGATAGAGCTGGGGGGGGCACGAGAACTATGGGCACTGGTCGAGCTAGTGTCTGCTACCCGTACGGCAATGCTTCCAGTCTGCGAGTCGTTCATCTCGTACTTGCGTGTAGTCAAAACTGGCTGGCGCAACAGGTTGAACGAACGCAACTTGACTGATTTAATGCGCAATAAAGTGACAGGTCCAACCCTGAACGTTTTCCGTGAGCGATTTTGTGAGCTTGCTGTGGACCTCTGTAATAGTGATAAATCACGGAGGAGACCCAGGGGAACCAAAAGCAATATGCTGCAAGAGGAAACGCATCAAAAAGGACAAGAGGGAAGAATTCCTTACAGATTGGTTGAAAGACGTTGGAGCTGTGGGCGAACAGGAATCGGAGAGTGAGGAAAATGAAGAGGAGATGGAAGCTGATTTATCGAAGAAGTTGCCACAGAACAGGTCAAGAAACCCCACTAGTTGCTTCTGCTCAGTGGGAGTTGTCGGACAGCTCCGGAAGACAGGGTCGTGAAGACCGTCTCCTGGACGGAATGAGAAGCAGTGACTCTGAGTTATCGTGACTGGTGATTCCAACTAAACTACAGGGTGTATAAAAAAACTGAACAGATTTTAAATTGCTCTCAATTTTGCAAAACACCTATTTTTATCCGGTTTTATATATATATGGCTTCCTTAGGTACTTATAATGTAGAATAATGAAACAAAATTATCGAACTCAAATTTTGTGAACCAGGGGTGTGTGTCTTTTCCAACAAACTAAAAATGGCTCGCGCACAAAATTTAAAAGTAGTAATCATATTTTGAGTTAATAGATGGAAAATTTGTCGGGTTTTTAAATACTGTACAAAATATCGGTCAATTTGGTTAACTATTTAATTTATTTTAAAAAATTAGCCTTTCGCATGCTTAATTAATATTAGAATGTTAGGGTTTGTAATCCAAGTGAGAATATATACTTTTTAAGACCTAACCAGGAACGACTGCGAAAAATGCAGCATAAGGTCCTCTAGTAGGAATTGAGTTAACCTACTGCCCTGCGATTCCGGTGCAGCGCTCTAACCAACTGAGCTACAGAAGCCAGCTGTTGAGCTGTAACCGTAAGTTCATGTATATATAGGTAATCGCGGGTGTGCAGGTTGTGATAAGGTGGACTTCAATGATTTGGATTCTTGCACTTCACTTGGTGGAATTAATATTAGAACGTTAGGGTTTGGGACTTCAATGATTTGGATTTTGGAACAACAATATTTTCATATTGTTTTGAACTGATTCACATGGAACTTGTTAATGTTTGTTCCTACCCCAAATAAAATGTATTGCTGTGTTCTTACAAAATGTTGTGTTGGTTTACATCACTATTATTTGGCTTATGCCCACTCCAGAACATAACTAAACTTTGCTTGGAAAACAGCCGGCAAAAATTTCACCTAAAAAATACAGCCTAAGAAATTTGACATATATTCAGGACGTTATTTCGAACCCTGTTTAGCACGGTGCAACGAATAAAATTGTTCAAATTAATGTCCAAGTTTCCTGACCAATAATAGCCACAAGTAATCATCCATACAGTAAAGCAAGTGCACTTTTGAAATGGCTGCCCACGCCGCTTCACATTGCTTCCGGAGCTCCTGGCTGTATAGTTTTACAAAGAACACTTTAAAACGTTTTGCAAAGCGTTTGTGGTTGAATTTTACGTTAAATTGAAGCTTATATTACGTATAATAACATACCTAACATATATATGTTGGGAAATTGATAATTTTGGGGTGTTTGTATTCCGAGTAATGAGTAATGAGTAATGAGTAATGAATTTTCGTACTTGCTTTGAAAAGATAAACCATGACAACATCACAGTGATTCCACTCACTCCTTGGCGTGAATAGTTATAATGCTGTGATAGTGTCAGCAGTTTAAACTGCATGGTATGATCAAATATGGCCATAATTTCGCTTATAGCATACTCGTTTTTAGTACGTCACATATTAACCAGTTCAGCCTTCAAAACGTTTGTCTCCAAGATGAATAACATGTTCGCAATAGTAGAATTACAAGTAATTATATAAACACCAATATAGCGGTCGACAAAAATCGATTTAAAGAGTAATATCTTGGTTTTATAAACTGAAAACCTGAATTTAGCCGAACAAAATGGTATGGAAAGTGTTTTCGAGCTTAAAAACGTTTGGACGTCAAATTGCGGATTTTATACTGGCTGCATGACCGCAGATAGCAAAACAAATATGGCGACCGAACTGAATTTATCATAAAACCAACCTTTATACGACAGCGCTTGTATTCTATACAGTATACTATTGCGAACATGTTGTTCAGCTTTGGGACGATCGTTTTGAAGGCTGAACTGGTTAATATGTGACATGCTAAAAACGAGTATGCTATAAGCGAAATTTATATGGCCATATTTGATCATACCAGTTTAAACTGCTAACATCGTCACAGCATTATAATTATTCACGGCAAAGAGTGTGTGGAATCACTGGCAATGTTTTCATGGTTTATCTTTCCAAAGCAAGTAGGAAAATTCATTACTCATTACTCGGAATACAAACACCCGTCGAAAATGCATGCATGGAAAGGCTGGAATACACAAACTTTGTATTTTTTACGAAAATGTTAATAATTGTCTATAGTCTAGAAGAGAAATGGAAATACTTCAATACAAATTTTCGAAAACTTAAACTATCTCAATAAAAATATAGTTTCTGCTTATTTTACTCGGGAAAAAGCTGAGCGGAAAATTGGTAAAAATAAAATGTAAATTTAATGCTCGGAATGAAGTTTAATACACTTTTCGCTACACCAAAAAGTTATAGCTGAATAGATCAGGATTTATGTAAGAGTGCCGTTCCCAGTTTAAGCGTGCCGAACCCAAATTTTTTAGAGCAAAAATTTCATCGTGTAAACGCAACAGGCGGACCAAAAAGCGTGGGTCTGCATGCGTGCCAAAATTTAAGCGTGCCGTACCCAAAATGACTGTCGTGTAAACGGGGCTACACCAGAGGCCGCTCAAAAGGGGCACTTTTGTATATGACCAAAAACAAACGATTTTATGTCGTCATTTTGAAAATATGCAATCTCTATAACGTCGGAAATGGCCTTTACAGAGTCTTTATACCAGTGCGAAAAGGGCACTTTCTTTCCAGTAAAAGATGGCGTTCATTCAAGAAATACTTTTTTCGTTCTTTAAATGGGGCATTTTAGTCCAGAAAAAGGACACTTTACTGAAAAGGGGGGTGCCGGACACATGCTCCATTGGCCCCCGGTTTCGCGGCCCTCGCACAGTCTGCAGAGTTGCACGTGCAAGTAAACACGTCATTTGAAAAGGACTTTTAAAATGATGCGAATTCACTATGGAATTCACAATTCTCAAAGAGAGAGTCAAAAAAGGTCATCAAGTTTAAGGCGGGGGTCTACCCATAGAAATAATAGACATAGAATGCGCGCTGATGACGAATCATGTCTTCACTTTTTCACCGTGCGTGCCCCATTGAACTATAAATAACTGGAAGGCTAAGTCGGGGGGAAATTGAAGCCGTGCTTGAAGCTTTTTTGTAGGTAGACCCGGTCCTTTTTAGTGTGAAGTTTCTTCGAAACTTCACAGTATTGTGATGACTGGGAGGAAATTCAAACTTATCAGTCAGTCATTCAGTCAGTCAGTCATTCAGTCAGTCAGTCAGTCAGTCAGTCATA